AGGAGTAAAAACAGCAGTTTAAGGGCATGCTCCCCGCCCACGCCTGGAACTGAAACCATAGTAACAAGGGAACCCTCTCAACATCGTGTAATCACACAAGATACCCAACAGTGAAATAAAGAAATCCTCGTTGTATAACCCTTCCGAATATAAGTTCCATCTACATTTTAATGTAATTTAACTATAGATTGATGAAGAAAGAAACCATTTGAAAATTTGAACTCACGAGAGTGATCTTTCAATACAACTTCACGACAGAGCTATTAATGAATGATGACTTACAACAGGCGAATCACAGCACTTAACAGCACTTCTCATTATACACTAATTCACTTTGGCTAGTGAAGTGAGCGCGACTGAATACTAGGCGACTGTAAGTGCACGACCCAGATTTGGTATCTCGGTAAAAATCAAATACTCACCACAACAGTCAGGTCCTGAGATGTTTTAGGGTCCTTCTCAGACATATCTTCTTCAAAAACCCCTACGTGCCTTCGCGTGATCTTTATGCTTGTGTGATCAAGAGCCCTGTCAAGGCTGTACAGTACTGCGTGATGTATTCAAGGTGGAAACTGCCGTTGAAGCAGTAGCTGATTTCGTTGTTAAGAGGTTTGGTCAGTGAACTGAAATCAACAGATCGGCTTTTGCTCTTTTAGCTGTGATCATTTTTATGTCCTAAAGGGGGCACTCGATGGCTCAGAAAGGCGAGACCCAGTAGAGATTCTGAATCTCCGCAAACAGCTGACAACTGTATTAAATATATTTGATTAATAATAATAATAATAATAATAAAAAACATTTTGATAAAAATATAGACTAAAGAAATATTATGCCATTAATGAAAAGATTAAGTGATAAAGGGGGGCAATGTAAATAAATCTATTCAGTCGAACTGTATGAATAGTGATTTGAGTTGTCGATATACGTAAAAAATAAATAAAGTCCTGTTTTTGCCTTTTGATAATATTTTATATTAGATTTCTAGAATAAATTAGATTTTTAATATTTAATGGATTAGCCCAACTAAAATACAGTAAAATGATTATTAACTAAGACTTATATTTTCCTAGGCTTTTTTTTTAATAAATGAAGAAAATTTCTTTATGATTAATAGAATTGTCACTGTTTCTCCATCAACATATTATAGCATTTGAAACTTTTTTATTCTATTTAAGATGTTTAAGACCTTTTACAGCCTTTTGACATGGTCAAACTTTAAAAAGCTTTAACTGACTGTCAGGACAGCTGAAAGGATAATTGGTGTGCACCTGCCCAACCTTCAGGACTTGTACTCCAGAGTGAAGAAACGGGCAGGAAACATCATCACAGACCCCTCTCATCCCGGCCACAACATGTTTGCACTTCTCCCCTCAGGCAGACGCTACAGATCTCTGTGCACTAGAACATCTAGGCATAAAAATTGTTTTTCCCCCCATGCCATCTCCATCTTAAACAGTTAAAGGGGTCACATGATGTTGCTAAAAAGAACATTATTTTGTGTACTTAGTGTAATGAAATGTGTTTATGCGGTTTAAGGTTAAAAAACACAGAAATGATTACTTGTTTTCTGTAGCCTAATTCATTTCTCCATTTCCAGCAACTGCCTGTCTTTCAAGTATTATGTAAATACATATTTTTATTTATACAACTGTACAGTAAATAATACACAAATCTGTACATAAATCTTCTGTTCCAGATTTGACCACATTGTTATTATTATTATTTTTTCTTTAGTCTTATTTAATTGTTCTTTCTGTTCTCATGTCATGTATGTACCAAGAGCTCCTAAAAAACACAACAAATTCCTTGTGTGTTTGCACAC